TGCTGCAGGTTGCTATGGGGTAATAGTTGCCTGATTGAGAAATACCAGTCCCTTGGTATCTATGGGGGATTGGTTCTAGGACCCTCACAGATCCCAAAATCCAAGGATGCTCAAGTCCCTAATTTAAAATGGTGTGGTATTTGCATATAACCTATGTAATTCTCTCATATACTTTAAATCATCTTTACTTATAATACCTAATACAATGTAAGTAGTTGTTTTACTGGATTGTTTAGGGAAAGGAAAAAACAGACATAATTTTTTTCTAATATTTTTCATTAGCAGTTGGTTGAACAGATGCAGAACCCATGAATATGGAAGGCCGACAGTAATTAATGTTCTGGAGGGATTCAAGATCCTTCCCCTTCCCAACCGAATGCAAATCACTCAATGATTTCCTGCCCAAAGGTAGACAGGTGAGCGTGTAATGGGAAGGGGACCTCTTTTCCTCTTTGAGTTAAATTAGGAGTGTCTACTGGCTCAGAAGGCAGAAGAAAGGATGGTTGGAAGCAATGCTCTAGGAGCCTCTTTGGTCAGAGACCGAAGCCTGCAATTCCAGTCATTGCCGTCAGGGATCGCCAACTATCTTCTCCCTAGGTAAATGTGGAGGGCACATAAACAAGTGGCTTTCAGCGGTGTGACCTGCCTCTGTGGCTTTTCCCTACACCAATACCCAAACATATACCTGGGAGGGTCAGGGGCAAGCTGAGTATCCTGGGACTCGAGGACCAGTCCCCTGCACCCAAGATGAATTCCCAAGTTAAACCCATTTCTGAGATTTCCAAGCACGTTTCCAGGATGCAGATTAGAAATGTCAAATCTTAGGAGTCCAGTTGGCAAGGAAGAAGGATAACCCCTGCATACTGCAGAGGGCAAGTGCAGGATGTGGAGAGACACTGAGGTTGGAGAAGTGCTGCGGCTGGCCCCAAGTGATCGGAGCACTGGACCAAGGCTGGTCTCCAGGCACAGAGCCTCCAGTATCTTTTACTGGCAGGTCTGGGGTGGAGCCGGAGGATGGGTGAAGGCGGGCTAGTGGGTTGAACCCTTCATTTACTTCTCCAGATGGGATTCTGAGGAAGGTAGCAAGTTACTTCTTCCATTCTGTAGACAGGGGCACGCACCAGCTCTCCCGCCAACGCCTGAAATAGGGTCACGAAGAACCCCTTCGCAAAGACATACCCCCCTTTTGCAAAATTTTCTTGAAAGTCCGGAATGCAGGTATCCACCATTTGAGTCTTTAAAGCTGTCCTTGCGGGTGGCCAGTTAGCTCAGTTGGTTAGAGCACGGTGTTATTACCAAGGTCAGCCGGAAAGAAAAGAAAAGAAAACATAAGAAAAGGGGGACACAAAGGGAAAGGAAAAAGAAGGAAGGAAAGAAAGAAAGATAAAGCAGCAAGTTGTCCCGAGCCCGAAGCCCTATGGGGATTGGTATCCGGCTCCTTGGTGGTCTCTCCAAAGCTGTCCCTCGAGGAAAGGCGAGGTACGCCTGGAACTGGAACTCGGGGCTAAGCCGGGAAGAGGGGCGGAGCAGTGAGCTGTTCTCATTCGCTGCTGTCTTTCATCATCGTCCTTTTAAGGGATCCCTGGGTGCCGAGGGACACCAGTGGGTACCAGTCCCAGTCCGTGCTTCCCGGAGTGGAAGCGGACGGCCGGGGGTGGGGGTGGGGACGCGGGGAGGTGCTGGGCTGGGCGGTGGCTCCTCACCAGCGCCTCCCCGCCCACCCACCGGCTGCCGAGGAAGACCACCGTGCTCAGCGCTGTCGCGCGGCGTCCGCAGCGTCCTCCCGGTTGCTGCGCTCTCGGTCTCCGCCCCCTCGCGCAGAGGCGGCCTCGCCGCTTTAAGAGCCGCGCTGGCGATTGACAAGCAAGCAGCGCGGAGCGCGGGAGCTGCCCGAGCCAGGGGCTCCCGAGGCGCAGGTAGGCGTCCCCCGGCCTCCGGGCCAGCACCGACCCCAGGACCCATGCCTCCTTTTCGTCCTGGCAAGGCACTCTGGGCGCCTTCCCCCAGGCCCGTCCCTTCCCTCGCCACCCCCCGCCCCGTGGCCCTCTTTCAGGGATGCCTGTAGGGAGAACCAAACCCCGCTGCCCATTGACGCTGGCCCCCGTCCCTGCAGTGGGGGCCCTAAAGTGACATCGGCACAAAGGCGGTGAGCCGTGCGGGGCCTGGGTATCTGCGCGGCCTCCCCCGGGGCTGCGCGGGTTGGGGGGGACTTGGAAGCCCGGCATTACGTAAGGACCGCGCTATCAGCGCTTCCAGGTAGGGGGGGACACAGAGGTGGCTCTGCGTCCTGGTGGCGCTCCAGCCCCACCCCCTGGAGTCCCACACTTCAATCTTCCCTGGGTGGGGGTCCCGGGAAGGGGTCGCGCTGCTTCTCCCGCCTCCCAGGCTGTAGGAGGGGCGGGCTGGGGTCGGAAGCCAGGTTAGGGCCTGGGGACTTGAAAGGGAATCGATGCCAGAAGCAAAGAGCCAGGGTCAGAAAGTTACGTCACCTAAGGGGGGGCTGAGTGAGGACTGGGGACTGGGAGAGTCATTCAGTGACCTCATCCCCTGGTCTCCCGCGGCCGCGCACGCAAAGAGCCCTCTGGTGGCTCGCGACACGCCCCCCTCCCCCGGGTCCTAGCGCCCAGCGTGTTAGGGTTGGGCTCATGCGCGGGGGCGATCTGATTGTCCGTGAGAGCCCGTCGGCCCCGCCTGTAGACCCCATCCTCCGGCCCTCGATTCTGTCAAGCCTCCCCACGACCTGTCTGAATCCAAAGCGCCCTTGTCAAATCTTTCTCCTCCACACCTCTTTGTATGTGTATTGATGGAAGTTGGAAGAAACCTCCCCCTGTCACCACTGGCCCACGTCACCTGCAGGCACTGTGGGTGATTCGGATAGCTTGGAAGCAGAGGTGAGACGGCGCCTGGACCCAGGCTTTTGGGAGCCAAGGTGCGGCTTCCCAGATGCCTGGGCCCCAGACCTTGGCACGAAGCCAGGCTGGCTTGCCTGGCACTGCCGTTCTCCTGTGGGCACGGCCGGGCCTGGGCCAATCACAGGCTTGGGTGGGGGTGGGGCAGAGCGAGCCGGCCGTGGGAACACACTCCTGGGGACAAAACCCAGGCAGACTGGGCAAGACTTCTGGGCCTAGGGATTCTGTAAAGGATCCTCACTGCCTCTTCCCACCCCCCTCCCTCTAGAGAAAGGGGATTCTTGAGTCTCCCCTCTGCCCCTGCAGGTACCTCTATCTAGGAAAGCAGTACTAACCAGAAGAAGACTCCAGGTTTCAGGTCACCAGGACCTGTGAGGGGGGAAGGAAGGGATCCCTTCCCCTGCTCTCTAGGAATAGGGACAGTAGGGTTGGCTCCAGAGGCACTGGCTGGCACAGTGGATCCTGGGCATTTCTCCCTGCCTGGGTGCCAGCATGAGGGGGGTGCCCTTTCTCTCCCAGAAAGCTCCTTTATTCCCTGTCCTGGGGGCAGGTCCAGGAGGAAGGGGAGCCACTCCCCTCACCTTTGTAATTTCTGCTACCTGAGCTCAGGTGACCAGCTCAGGCCTGGGAGGGAATGGGAGCAGAGAAGTTTTTATTAAAATCAGGCAGTGGTCCCTCTGAGAAGAATACTTTTGGCGGGGGGAGGGGAAGTTGCTGTGGCTCCCCACCCCCACGGCCCAGCAGGCATTCAGAACTAAAGTGGGCACTGCCAGCTGCTTCCCCCAACTCCCCCACCCCTGCCGTGAACCACCACCTCCTGTTGTCATGGCAACTTGGAATTAGGGTATTATCCAGTAGTACATGCCCAAGAAGGCGAAGGGAGGAAGGGTGCTGGGTAACCCCCTTCTCCCTCCCGGGAGAATGGGGGCACCAATGCCAGCTTGGGGAGGCCCTGGGATGGAAACTGTGGCGGTAGACTCCGTGCCTGGTCCTGCCTGGAGCCCCCTGCTCTCCTTGTCCCAACTCTGGGCTAAGAAAGGGAGAGAGGAAAGAGAGGAAACCAGAGAGGCCTTGGGAGATAGGATACTTCTGTTTGCCAGACACAAATGTGTGTGGAGCATCTGCACTGTGCTAGGCCTGGGTTCCAGAGGCAAAAGAAACGGATGTGCTTCTGGCTCACAGTTTGGGCACATTCATCTTTCCTGCTTTTGACCCAAATTTCGTATTCTTTCTAACCCACCCACCATTTCCAAAAAAAAAAAAAGACCGCAGGCAGAAACATTTTTTTTTTAAGTCATAAATCCTGGGTTTTCATTGTACCTCTTCCTGCCTTTACATTGTATCTGCTCTTCCTGCCTCCCAGGACTGTTGGGATCATTGTCGTTACCCAACACCCAGCTTCTGGACAGAGCCCTCTCCCCTACCTTGTTGGGTGTTCCAGAAGGGGAGGCCCTTCCTATACCCTTCCCCATTGCTTTGCCCTTGTGCCTTCTCATCCTCCTCTCTCCCCCCTCCAGGAGAGATATTTCAGAGCCCTTGTGGACACCATGCCAGTTGCTGCCACCAACTCAGAGTCTGGTAAGAAGGGGGGTGAGGATGTCAGCCGATCTCAGTGGTTCAGAGGCTGGCAGGCAAGGACTTGGGGTGCGAAGGGCTGATGTGAGCCTCAAAGCTATGACAAAGGAGAGCACATTAGTGTTAGAAATGTTCCCAGTGATTATGCTGCTGCTGGGTTGTTGTTATGACATTAACCCTGTGGCCTTGAGTCAGTCACCGTCCTTTGAGGACCTAAGTTTCCCCTAAAATGAGGTGATGAGACAAGATCGGTGTTCTTAACTTTCACTGGTCCTGGATCTCTGAGAATTTGATGACAGCAATGAACCTGCATCATAGACAAATGCTTCCATGTACAAAATCTACAGGCTGCTCCAGGAGCTCATGGACCCCCTTAGGTGCATTCGGGGACCCAGCAGGTGAAGTTCTCTGTGCTGGAGGCTCTCTAAGGGTGCTGGCAGCTGCAGGCCACTATGGTTTTGCTTGGAGTTGCCTGAATTTCCCCTGCCTGGATGCCTTCCTCCTTCCTCCGAGCAGCTCCTCCCCCTGCTCTAGGCCCTCCTGCTACCTCTGCAAGACGTTCTACACCCCCACTTTGGTTAGAATGACTCCCCTGTCCCTCCCCTCTGAGAAAATGAACCAGGAAAGTGAAGGCTGCTGAAAGTGAGCCAGAGCCTAAACTGTGACACCCGTGTCCCCCAGGAAAGGCCTCTTCTCCAATAGCAGAGGGACTGTACCAATGTCTCCTAGCTTCTGCAGCCTTGGAGGGCTCAGTACCTCCATCTCGTGTCCAGTCTGGGCTTCCTGGGCTCTCTCATTGCTCCAGCCTGCCTGGGCCCCACTGTAAGCTGCTTAGAGGTTAATTGAACCCATCCCTGAGCCTGTGATTAAAGGCCTCAATCTGGGGCTGCCCAGTAAACCCATTAATAGTGCCTGGCAGGGGTGTAGAGGGAGGAGCAGGCCCAGCAGTTTGATTTCCTTGCTGCAGGCCACTTGACGGGGGCATGGTGGGGGGTGGGGAACAGGACAGGGAGTGAGCCCAGGGGTGTGCATTTAAGGCCCGCTTCCTCAAAGGACTCCTGGGGTCCCTCTCCCCTGGGTGTTGTGCCATGGGCTGCTCTGTCTTCCCATATCCAAAGGAAGAAGTACAAAGTGCTCCTCTTCCCTCAGACAGCCCCCTGCCTCCACTCTGGGCTGTATTAGCTCCTGACCTCAACAATCTAGTGGTGGTCATTAGATTATCATCTGGTGGTCATTACACGTCCCACAGGACTGAGAGAGACAGCCGTACCTCTGCCTCTGAGGTCAAGCTCTTTCTCTCCCTCCCTCCTATTAATGAGCCCTACTCTGGGGGGATCCCTGCCTTGGGCTCTGTGAAAGGTGAAGCTAGCAAAGTCCTTCTCCCACCCTTCCCCATGTGTCAATATGGTCATTGTCATTTTGGAGGGAGGTGAATGGTGTGGGTGTATTCCTCTTGCAGAGAGACACCAGCTCTACTTTGATTAAGGTGAAGGCCTCTTTTCCTGAGGGTGGGCGTGGGTTGGGAGATATGTGGGCCATGGCACAGGCCATTGAGAGTTTAGAGATCTAGCCCCTGACCTGCTGCCTTGCCCTATCTTCCCCCTTCACCAGACTCCCTCCTTTCTTTGAATCAAGGCTGGGATGTGGGGCTGCTTTCAGATGGAGCGGTCTCTTTAAATCTCTCTCACATCCCTGTGTTACTGTCCTGGTGTGTAATCCTGACTGCTGTCATGGCAACCAGGGGCGCAGTGCCACCTGGTGCCACTCCTCAGGGAATGGCTGACTGGTGGCTGCAGCAGTGCCCTGCTGGTGGCCTCATGGGTACAGGGTGTCAGAGGAATGGGGGCGCTTGGCTAGGGTAACTGCCAAATTCCCCTCCTGCCCACCCTTATTCCTGCTGCATGAGTGTGCCTTTCCCTTTCCCTTCCCCAGTTCCAAGGCGCCTGACTTGCCTCCTGGGCATCACCTCCTTGCCCAAGGGGAAGAGCTAATGGGAGATGGGGGAGGGTGCGAAGCTGCTGCTGAGATGTGGGGTCAGAAGGGCTTGGGCACCCTTCCCTGCCCACAATGGTGCCACTCCCCCGCACCCCCACCCCGTGTGGATGGCTGGCTGGCAGGTAGGGGGAGTTATTTGGTTCTTGAGGTATTTGCCTCATGCCCCAGTGGTGCCATTACCTCCTGCTGGAGGACTGAGAGTTGTTTTGGGGGCTTCCTTTGACTAAGAAAATCTTAGTAAAGGAAATAGGGCCTGGAGAGGGGACAGAGGGCAGAGGTCGGAGGGTATGGGGAGATGGTGGCATGGGGTGTATTAGAGCAGGGACTTCCAGAGAAGAGGAGGGCAGGAACAGGGGGGGCCACGACCCCTCCCCGCTTGGGTTTCCTGCAGCTGGCTGCGAGGGGAGGGTCTCTGGGCACTGCGCCGGCCCTGAAGGGGCGTCACGCTTACCGCCCCCTACCCCGTCTCTTGGCCGCCCCCTCCCCACCCCACTGCTACTAAAACGCTGGGGATCTGGGGATCGGGCCAGCCGTAGGACGAGGACTCTCTCTTTCCCACCGCCCTCCTCCCACCCCTGTCACGCCCCCTCCCCACCCGGCAGCGCCCGTCGGGGCTTTGGCCAATCAGCAAGGCGGCCAGGCCGGCTGGGCCTTGCTATT